GAGTTGGTGGGGTGCCTGGTGGTGCCAGGATTGGGGAAGGGGTGACGTCAGGGCACCTGCTTGGGTGGGTGCTTAGGACACCCAGGGCCACCTGGGCACTGGCACCACTAGGGGGGAGTCGAGCTCCGGGCAGCGATCGGTGCCACCCGGTCTGAGAGCCACGGACACCGGGGTGTCCCCTGGAGGGACGCCGGTGCGTCCCCAAGGCAGAGGCTCCCCAGACACTAGTGTGTTCCCAAGACAGCAATTTTCTGGCCACCCCTCTGTCCCCTAGGCAGGAGGTCCTTGGACACCAGTATGTCCCCTGGACAGACACCAGTGTGTCCCCTGGCTGGACAATACTGTGTCCCCTAGACAGGAGGTCCCCAGACACCAGCATGTCCCCAGGACAGCAGGGCCCCAGGCACCACTGTGTCCCCTAGATAGGGGTCCCTGGACACCACTGTGTCCCCTAGGCAGAGGGTCCCCAGACACCAGCGTGTCCCCAAGACAGCAGGTCCCTGGACACCACTGTGTCCCTCAGGCAGAGCATCCCTAGACGCTGTCATGTCCCCTGGCCGCACACCAGTATGTCCCCTAGAGAGAAGTCCCCAGGACAGCAGTCCTCAGACACCACTAGACAAGGGGATCCCCAGCTGGACCTCGCCACGTCCCCAAGCCAAGGGGCCCCCCCCCCAGCCACTGCCATGTCCCCGGGCCAAGGGACACCCTGGGTGGATGCTCCCATGTCCCCCGGACAAGGGGATCCTGGCGGGATGCTCCTGTCTGCCCGAGCCAATGAGGTCCAGAGCCAGACCTTACCATGTCCCCAAGGGGGTCCCCAACCAGACCTTACCATGCCCCCAAGGGTGTCCCCAGTCAGGCCTTGCCATGTCCCCAAGGAGGTCCCCAGCTGGACCTCACTGTGTCCCCAAGGGAGTTCCCAGCCAGGCCTTGCCATGTCCCCAAGGGAGTCCCCAGCTGGACCTTGCCATGTCCCCAAGGGCATCGTCAGTCAGGCTTCACTGTGTCCTCAAGGGTGTCCCCAGCTGGACCTTGCTGTATCTCCAAGGGTGTCCCCAGCTGGACCTCACCGTGTCCCCAAGGAGTTCCCCAGCCAGACCTCATCGTGTCCCCATGGGGATCCCCAGCCAGGCCTCACCATGTCCCCACCCCAAGGTGTCCCCGGTGGCTCATGGTGGCCAGGCGCCGCTGGCCCCACTCCCACCACCTGCTCCCGCGTGCCCCCGCAGAGTGCCCGGCCGTGTTGCCCCGGTGCATGTGGGGTGCCCGTCCCTACCGGGGCACCCCGAGCACCCTGACACCGCCGCTGCCCTTCGTCTCACTTC